TTCAGCCTCCCAGGTAGCTGGGACTATAGGCACGCGCCACCACACCCAGCTAATTTTTGTATTTTTATTAGAGATGGGGTTTCACCATGTTGGCTGGTCTTGAACTCCTGACCTCAGGTGATCCACCCTCCTCTGCCTCCCAAAGTGCTAGGATTACACGTGTGAGCCACCACACCCGGCCCTAGCTAGTTTTTGTTTTTTGTAGAGACAGGGTTTTGCCATGTTGCTCAGGCTGGTCTTTAACTTCTGGGCCCAAGCAATCCCTCCGCCTCAGCCTCCTAAAGTGCTAGAATTACAAGCATGAGCCACTAGGCACGGTCAGAACACTGTGGTTTAAACAAACAGGGTCTTATTTGTTGTTTGGCTTCTTAAACAGGTTGAGTATCCCTTATCTGAAATACTTGGGACCAGAAGTGTTTTGAATTCCTGAATATTTTCATTATGCTTACTGGTTCAGCATTCCTAATCCAAAAATCCCAAATCCCAAATGCTCCAGTGACTATTTCCTTTGAACATCATGTTGGTCAGATTTTTGGATTAGGGATGCTCACGTGTGAGAAGAGATCAGATGCAAAGCTCTTTATTATGATGATCAAGTGTTATATACTGTACATAGTTGTACACGCTAGACTTTTGCACAACTGGCAGCACAGTAGAGTGTTTCCACCAGCATCACCTTAGACACATGAGTCACGTGTCACACTACAAGGTCAGGATGGCTATGATGATAGGAATTTTTCAACTCTGTTATAGTCTTATGGTACCACTGTCACACACATGGCCTGAAACATTGTTATGCAGCACATGACTGTGTATCTGTGCAATTGCCATGGGTTTTCTCTCCTAGTATGATAACTTCTCCCTGAATGGCAGTGCGGACCATTTGTGTTGACTGGCAGTTTTCACTTTAGTATACCTGGCATGGAGTAGGCAGGCAGCCTGGCACCTCTACCCACCACTTATTCCAATGGCAGGATGATGATGGTTTTATGGTTTTATTCTAGGAGGTCAACAGCAACAATGGGAGGCTTTCTCCTTCCTGGTTGTATCTTCACTTTGTTTATCGGGATGGGGATGGGAAATGAGTGGAGGTCCATGCTCCTGGGAGCAGCTGCCAGGGAGTAGCTCAGCTCACCTGTTAGTCATCCAGACTTTACCAACGTCCACTCCATCTCCACCACTGGGAGTGCTCCAAGACTGCAGGGAAATGGCTCCCACCTCCACTCCAGCCTTCTGCACACATTCTGGGCTGTGGTTCCCTTCATGCCCCAATCAATAAGATCCTCGCTGCTTTCTGTCTTCCTAAAATATGTCAAAATCCGGGGTTTGCTGCTGTCCCCAAACCTACTTTTAACATGATTACAGCTCTCCCCCACCTTTCATTACATTGGAACTATGAGAAGGAGGAAATATAAATACTTGTGTTCAGTTCCCTGTCATGAACTGGTTGTCCTGATTTATTCTTTATGGTTTGAATATGAAGAATGGTGAATTTCAACAGTAGTGTAATACTTAAATATAATGTAGGAAAAAGTAGAGAAATTCCTTTGGGGTAGGGAAGGAATTTTTAAATAAGCCACAACGAATGCAAACTTATAAGGAAAGATGAATAAATTTCACTATTTATTATGTATGATGTAATAAATGTAATACATACATGTATGTCAGGTATAATTTGACTACACCTGGCTAATTTCCTTTTTATTTTTACTTTTTATAGAGACAAGGTTTCACTATGCTGCCCAGGCTGGTCTTGAACTCCTGAGCTCAAGGGATCTTTCTGCCTCAGCTTCCCAAAGTGTTGAGATTACCCATGTGAACCACTGCACTCAGATGACTGCACTTTTAAGTTGCTAGGTGATTCTGACACTGCTGGCTTGAACCACAGCGGGAGAAACACCCAAAGAGGCCCACACAACCTATTAATGAAACGGCGAACAGGGAGAACAGTGGGAACTGAGGCGGCACTGCAGGCGCAGTCCTATGCCCCGAGCACCCACTCCCTACCGCCCTCTCAACCTATTAATGAATAAAAGCTTTTATTCATTAATAGATACCACAAAAACAAAAAAGTGAAAAGATAAGCCTCAAACTGGGGTGAGAGTGTGGGGGTGGGTTATACATCACACATTACTGATGAAGGATTACTGCCTAGGTCTAGAGAGAACTTCTCCAAATCAATGAGAAAAGACAATGAATCAACAGAAAGATGGGCTAAAGCATGAATAAGCTGTTTACAGAAAAGGAAACATATATGGCCATATAAACATACAAACGTATGAAAAGATACTCAATCTCATTAGCAACCAGAGAAATGCGAAATAAAACCACAGTAGGAGGCCATTTTGTGCCCACCAGATTGACAAAAATTCAAAAGCCTGAAAATGCCAAGTGTCGGCAAGGTTGTCTTATGTGCTGTGTTGGGTATGTAACTTGGCATCACCACTCTGGAAAACAATTTGGCATTACCTTGTAAAGTGCCTTCCATACCGCTAATCCATATTCACCCTTGGAGATATACCCTGAAGAGGCTCTTGCTTCTTCTGTGCCAGGGACTTAGATGCAAGACTAACAGTGATGAACATATGACATAACCAAACCTCACAAACACAATGATGAACAAAAAAGACAAGCTGCTTAAGTATATGTGTAGTATGATTCCATTTGTGTCAAGTCTAATGTGTAATCACACTGAAAATAGTCCTCAGCGGGGCATGGTGACTTACCCCTGTAATCCCAGCAATTTGGGAGGTTGAGGTGGGTGGATGCTTGAGTCTAGAAGTTTGAGACCAGCTTGGGCAACATGGTGAAACCCTATCTTTACAAAAAATACAAAAATTAGCTGAGCGTGGTGGTGCATGCCTGCAGTCCTAGCTACACGGGAGGCTGAGGTAAGAGGATCACCTGAGCCTGGAGGGTAGAAGCAGCAGTGAGCCATGATCGTGCTACTGCACTCCAGCCTGGATGACACAGTGAGATCTTGTCAAAAAAAATAAAGAAAAAAAAGAAAGAAAATGATTCTCATAATCTGCATTTTTAAAACTAAAAACAAGGAAATTATAAACCCGGCGTTCTAAAACTAGGGTTATCCTAAGGGCTTAAGGGGAATGGAGAGGATTGCAGACTGAGGGGACAGAGGGGACTTCCAAACATGAGCCACCACCTGTTTCTCAAAGGAGATGCTGGATATGTGGTGTCTTTATTTTTGTTCTTTGTACCATAGCTGCATTATGCACCTTTTAAAAATCAGCCAACAGTGTCATATGGGAAAGGACTTAAACTTGAGGGACCTGAGTAATTATTACGTGTCAAATGGATTTTTTTTTTTTCCTGCATGTCTCCAAAGGCAAAATTCAGATCAAACATTTGGCCCTCCTGGGATGCAGATTTTAACTTCTGATAAAAAAGGCCTTGTAATATTTGTACCATCTGGTGTATGTTTATCTCTCGAGTAGTTTTTGCAAGAACTCGCACTCCCTTGAGCTCAGTCCACTTACAGACACTCTGAGACCAGAAGAGGAGGCGTTGCTATCTTCATTTTATAAATATAAAACCGGACGGACATTAAACGGGGGTGAAGTACCCAGGAACTGGAGCCCAGCCCAGACCCCAGGCTGGATTCCTAGTCCTGGACGCTTTCTTTGATGTTCTTGTCGGAGATGGGGTGCTCCATCCCGAAGGTGTCCCAGGCAGGTTCCTGTATGGTGAGAGAAGATGGACCTCTGACTCCCAGCTAGGGGCCCATGCAGGGCTTTGCAGGTGGAGGCAAAGCTCCCCATCATGCTGAAGGCATCACCAAGGTCCCGGTTAATACAGGAATGTCTTTCTCCAGGAGGCCTCTGTGCCTGCTACGGTAGGGGCATTGTGGCATGGATCCCTCAAAAGGACAAAGGCTGTGACTGAGTGCTTCCTTCTAAAGTGACTCTCCCTTGCAGAGTACGGCTTTCTGGACTCCTGTCATGACGTGGGCAGGACGGAAGCCACACGCCCGCTTTACCCGGGGCTTCAGGCAAATTCAGTGAAATGGGGTGAAAGGAGTGAACGCTATGGCGGGAAAAACTGAAAATTTTTTCCCCCGCTCCCCTCAAAACCTCCCTGGCCCTCATTTGACCGGCCCGGGAAGCGGGTGGGGAGGCGGGTGGCCTCGCGTTGGGGGTGGTCCTCAGGGGCGGTGCCCTTGGGCCCTCACCCGCATCTCCGTCGCCCGCCCCCAGAGCAGCACGTGCTGGCGGAGCTGGAGCGGCAGGCGGTGCTGGTGTACACGCCATCCCGCAAGGTGCACGGCAAGCGCCTGGTCTGCTACGACGACCGCTACATCGTGAAGGTGGCCTACGAGCAGGACGGCGTCATCGTCTCCAACGACAACTACCGGGACCTGCAGAGCGAGAACCCCGAGTGGAAGTGGTTCATCGAGCAGAGGCTGCTCATGTTCTCCTTTGTCAACGACCGGTACGGCCGGCTGGGGTACTGACACCCGGGCGGGCGGGGGTTCGGGGGCGGGGCAGTGGCCACGCCCACCTCCAGGTGGCGGAGCTTGGGGTCACCCGGTCACTCAGCCCCGCAGACAGAGCTCTCCCAGGTCTGCATTCTCGGCGGGCTGCTTTGCTCTGACCTTGCTGTTCCCAGGGCCACATCTGACACACTACAGAGAAGCCCAAGATGTGGGCCAAGCATGCAAGCATGCGCTTAGGGCACCACTAACTTAAAAAAAACAGAATTGCGCACTTCAGATTATTGAAATAGTCATCATGGAAAAGATCTATACTTTGTTGTATTGCCTTTCACTTATTTCAGGTTTTTGTCTTATTTTATTTTATTTTTTGAGATGGAGTCTTGCTCTGTCACCCAGGCTAGAGTGGCTCAATCTTGGCTCACTGCAAATTCTGCCTCTGGTGTTCAAGTGATTCTCCTGCCTCAGCCTCCTGAGTATCTGGGATTACAGGCACGCACCACCATGCCTGGCTAATTTTTTGTATTTTTAGTAGAGATAGGGTTTCACCGTGTTAGCCAGATAGCCTCCATCTCCTGACCTCGTGATCTGTCCACCTTGGCTTCCCCAAGTGCTGGGATTACAGGCATGAGCCACTGCTTTTTTTTTTTTTTTAACAGAAGTTTTGAATTACATATGGGAGTGGGCAACAGATATATATATATATATTTTTGACAGGGCCTTGACTCTGTTGCCCAGGTTGCAGTGCAGTGGCATGATCACAGCTCACTGCAGCCTTGAACGCCTGGGCTCAAGGGATCCTCCTGCCTCAGCCTCCCAAAGTGTTGAGATTTTAGGTGTGAGCCACTGAGACCCGCCCAGAATCTTTTGTTTTGGGCTGTAAAGATCTCCCCTTGCCTGGCCCTGACTGTCTCCGTACCTCTGGGTTGAAATGTTCAGGAGAACCTGGCTGGTTCATGTAGCCCTGAAATAGGACCCTTGGGTCAGTTCATCCCAGACCAACTGGCTATGGCTGGAGGCGGAGAGGGACACCAGGGCCACAGGCACAAACCGCTTAGCAGGTGGTGAGGGCAACACTGGCAAGGTGGATGAGGGTCTGGAGACCACAGCAGTGTGTGACAGAGCACAGCCAGCTGGCCTGTTGCTCCCATTTCCATTTCTGTTCCAGGCAGTGTTAGCTTAGCCCTCATTCTGGGCTCTCTGACTGACTTTTTGGAATGTGGTTTGAGACAAACGCCTCAGTTCTGTGAGGGCAGGGACTGTATCTGTCTTACGTGTGGTATCTCCAGCATGCCTGACCCACAGGCGTGCAGTAACTAGTTGTAAAGGAATGACCGAGTGAATGACCGTGGCCCGGGGAAGGGTCGATGGGGAGAGAGGTCTGGGCTCAGGCTGTTTGCACACGACTGAGCAGCTCCTGACTCTGGACCCAGGGACACAGTGTGGTGTTTGAGAAAGGGCTGGGGCAGGTGAGGTTTCCATCTGAGGCCCTGCCACTTACTGGCTGGGAGTCAAGGGGGAACCACTCAGCCTCTCTGAGCTGAATGTTCTTTAGCTTGAAAAGGGATTAATAGTGTCACCTCTGAGATCATTGTGAGGACTAGAGACAATTGTGCCCCAGAAGTGGTAGCAGCTATTCCCAGGACATGGTGCCCCAAGGGGTACTGTGGTCCCCATGGCCAATTGCTCCTGCAGCCATGGAGGTGGAGGGCCAGAGGCATGGCAGCAGCGCCCTGCAGGAGCCCCCATTGTCATTTCCAGCTGCAAAAGGCCGGTGGCTCTCACTGTCCATCTGTGGCCTGGAGGAATCTGGCTAGTCTGGGCCTATGAAATCCTCACTGAGCTCTCAGGGACATGGCCATCTCTGGCCTGACGACAGCCTGGGGCCGGGGCCAAGTCCTTTTGACGCACTGGCCTCTGTTAAGGGCCTGCCAGGAGGCAGGGCCTGCCGCCCGCTTGTGAGCGAGGGTGCCTGCCCTGGTGCCCCAGGCACGTCCACAGGGCCCTCTTGGCACAGCTTCTGCTCCTGGGAGAGCAGGAGAGGAAGTCTTTGGGAACTTTTAATAACCACAGTGGGCGGTTCCCCAGATTCTTGGTCAAGGCCCAATTCTGAGAAGCCGGCTGTGCAGCTGGGAGCTGCTCTGTGGAGGCCACACAGGGCCGGGGATCACCCAGCTCTCTGCAGAGTGGGACTTCAGCGTGACTCTGGACTCTTAGGGGGACAGCAACCCATAAAAGCATCTCCTCCTTGATTTAGAATCCCAAACTCTCTACAGAACCTTTGTATGACCTGGAAGTGGCCTTGGGAACAAAAGTATTTATATAGAAAGTGGAACCTCACTTAGCAAGGGGCGTTTTCCTTCTGAGGTTTTCCCTGTTGAACTCTAAGCATGCATTCCCTTCCTCATTAGGGCTCCATGCCAGGGAGAAGAGAAGAGCAGGTCGGGGGCAGGGCAGTCTGGAAACTGCGACCAGATCCTGTGCCCCCAGGGTGTGCAGAGGAGGTTAAGTCTGTGAGGTGGCTGTATGTGCAGGCAGCATTTGGGGTCCACTTCCTCACTGATTCAAACTCCCTGTTCCTATTGAACCTCTTCACCTGCAGGTTCACAGCCCAGAGCTGTGACACAGCTCTGTTTCAAGGGGTGAAACACAGGAGAAATGGGACGTAAGGCTCAAGGAGCTCATACAACTCTGAAACCTTCTGGAACTGTTGTTGTTTGTTTGTTTGTTTAGAGACAGAGTCTAGCTCTCTTGCCCAGGCTGGACTCCGGGGCTCCAGGGATCCTCCCTCTTCAGCTTCTCTAGTAGCTGGAACTACAGGCGTATGACACCACTCTTGGCTTTTCTGGAAGTGTTTGTTAACCTCATAGAGGTTTCTAACCTTTTGTTGAGGACAGTGGGAAGCCAGAGGAGCCCTTAGAGCAATTATACTTTCATTTTCCTGGATAAAAATCACCTGGGAAGTTCTTTTTTGTTTTGGAGATGGAGTCTCACTCTGTCGTCCCGGCTGGAGTGCAGTAGCGTGATCTCGGCTCACTGCAACCTCTGCCTCCTGGGTTCAGGCAATTCTCCTGCCTCAGCCTCCTGAGTAGCTAGGAATACAGGCACCTGCTGCCACGCCCAGCTAATTTTTTTGGTATTTTTTAGTAGAGATGAGGTTTCACTGTGTTGCCCAGGCTGGTTTTGAACTCCTGAGCTCAGGCAATTTGCCCGCCTCGGCCTTCCAAAGGGGAAGTTCTTAAAAGCAGATTCCTGAACAACTTCAGATTCTGATGAGTCAGGTCTTGTGTGAAGCTCGGAGGCTGCAAATTTTTTTTTTTTTTTTTTTGCCAGGATCTCACTCTGTTACCCAGGCTGGCGTGCAGTGGCACAATCACGAATCACTGCAGCCTCCATCTCCCAGGCTCAGTCATCCTCCCACCTCAGCCTCCCGAGTAGCTGGGACTAAAGATATTCACCACCACACCCGGCTAATTTTCTTTTCTTTTCTTTTTTTTTTTTTTTACTTTTTGTAGAGACAAGGTTTCACTATGCTGCCCAGGCTGGTCTTGAACTCCTGAGCTCAAGGGATCTTTCTGCCTCAGCTTCCCAAAGTGTTGAGATTACCCATGTGAACCACTGCACTCAGATGACTGCACTTTTAAGCTGCTAGGTGATTCTGACACTGCTGGCTTGAACCACAGCGGGAGAAACACCCAAAGAAGCCCAGAGCTGTGCTGTGTGCTCTGCATGGGGTTCAGTGCGAAGGGAAGCTTTTGCTTTAAGATGCTGTGACATCCCGCTGGGTTATGGTGGGCCCAGGGCCGAATGCTTCCTGGTGCTCTCGGGGAACTTGGGCCTGCTTCTTTTGTACAGGTGCTGGTGGCAAATCCCAGGTGGTCTTGCAGTTGCGCCTGTGCTTATTTTCCAGGTTCATGCCTCCTGATGACCCCCTGGGCCGCCACGGACCTTCCCTGAGCAACTTCCTGAGCAGGAAGCCGAAGCCCCCAGAGCCATCCTGGCAGCATTGTCCCTATGGTGGGTAGTGCCCAGTGCTTCGCGGGCCATGTTCAGGGCCTTGTGTGGGGGCAGTACAGGAGCAGAGTTAAAAAGCACTGGCCTGGTGCTCAGCAGCCTGGGCTCTTGCCCAAATTCTGCCCTCCAGCTATGCCACCCTGGAGAGTGAACTTTCCTGACAGGGTTATTGCAGAACTGACATCCTGGCTGGTGATTTCATGGGAGCCAGGGTCCCATGCCACGGTCGGATGCAGAGATCATGCACACAGCAACGCTATGTCTGAGAAGCCAGGAGGCTGGACACAAACCCAGCTGCCGGTCTCAGTCCCTTCACCTGGCCCCCGGCAGCTTCTGTCCTCACCCTACCCCACCCCCCCACCTTATGGATTTTGGTCACTGCTATCCATGAAGAGTTAAGAATTTTATCCTAGCACCCAGGGGGATGCCAGCCTTCTAGTCAGCTCTTTCACTGACTTGCTTCACCAAGTTATTTGATGTCTCCAAGTTCAGTAAAGGCTTGGGTGACAGTCAATCAATTCTTGTTAGAATTAGGTGACTATGCATACATTCAGGCTGACTCCTTCCCCCTTTCACTCTCAGAAGCCCTGGGTCTGGATGGTAACACTTGATCTTTTGTTCACGACTCTGTTAGAACAGCGTGCAGGGTGAAGGCAAGCGTTAAACACAGCGAACAGGGAGAACGGTAGGAACTGAGGCAGCACTGCAGGCGCAGTTCTATGCCCCGAGCGCCCACGCCCTACCGCCCACTCCCTATGCCTGGCCTTATCCACAGGGTTCCTGGGGAAGTGGAGGCTGAAAGTCTTTGAATCCAGAGATTTGGTCTTAGTCCCTGGTCAAAGGGACCTGGGACCGACACTCTTCTGCATACCCTGGGATGAGTGTGCGCAGCCGACTGCGCCTCCTGGGCACTTCTCCCCACCTCGGTCTCGAGCCCAGATCCTGAGGC